CCTGCCCAGGGCAGGGGGTGAGATCCAGTGATCTAATAGGTCTCTTCTGATCCTAAAATCTATGCAATTTATGAAAAGTTTAGCTGTGTAATAATAACTAATGCAATTCTATCCAATTTAACTGACTGAAAACATGCTCTCTAGATAAGCCACACTGAGGCTCTAGTGGTACCTTAAATTCCCAGGCGTTGAGCAAGCACTTGATAAGCTAATCTTAATATTAGAAATAAATAAGTGTGTGTGTGTGTGTGTGTGTGTGTGTATTATACACACACACATATCTATAGATATGTGTGTGTGTGTGTATTATACACACACACATACATGTGTATATGTATATATGTATGTATTTATAATATATTATTGTGTGTGTATACTTGTGTCTATATACTTTCCCATGGTTTCTTCAGCAAGGCAAATTATAGCTGAAGACAATAAGTAGTTTATGACATTTTCTAGAATGACAGTAAGTAGAGTTTTTTTGCATTATCATGTATGGAAATCAGCTATTGATATTGAAAGCTGCAACAAAAGATGGGGTGTGATATAAAGAAAAATGATGTTATTTAGATTTGACTGTGTGTGTGTGTGTGTGTGTGTGTGTGTGTGTGTGTGTGTGTGTGTGTGTGTGTGTGTGTGTGTAAATCCTTTTGCAAAGTACTTAATTGCTTCAATTATCATGCATTTCAGAAGAGGCAATCTATAAACTAAGAGTACCCATATGGATGGAGCTCTGGGAAGAGTGAACTTACAAAACTCTCAAGTCTTGGGTAATCAGCATAGGTGATGACTCTGTGGATACTCTGGGGCTCAAGCACCCACCGAAAAAATTAACTGGTACTCAGCATCCATGAGCCACAGCCATTTTAGTTTTACACGTTAGATCTTTGTGGCTACAAACAAACAAACCACACTTTACTGGAAGAAGCAATGCATTACTTCTACCCAGCTCCTCTGTGGGCCTTTTGGTGCTTTTAGCTAAAGCTTATTCAATCAACTATTAGACAAAAGCAGCAAAAAAGCGCTACTAAAGTGCTCAATCTTTACAAGTGTTGAGCAAGCCGGGTTGAAGTGCATTCACAGGGCTTCCCTCCTTCCCTCCCACAAAAAAAACCCAACCCCACACACGAGCAAAAACCTAAGTCAGCACCTATGTTTATTAGCCAAAGGCAGAGGCAGCCAAGTTGTGGAGTCCCACTTCTGATATGGAATAACAGAGAGTCTCTGACAGTGACGAGCATATTTTACATTGAACACGGGCAAAAGAAAAATCACTGATGTTCATGAAGTTAAAATGCTGAACTTTGGTGCTTTTCTTATTTTCTTTCTTCAGGACCATGACAAGGTTATATGAAGATGCATTTTGGTCACAGAAGGATCTGGAGGGGCCAATCAATGATGCTCGGAAGCATGTGATGAAAAGTAAGCTGGACTGTTTCTCTTTGGATTGCCTGAAATACTATGAAAAGGAGCTGTGCCAGCGACACAAAGAGGGTCACAAAACAACTTTTACAGATCTGTGGGGACTCCTCATTGAATCCATGTTTCGTGGTGAGGTACTGTATGCACAGTTCTCTTTGCAGACAGTGGCTGATAGTATATAAATAAAACTATGGATTAAATTACACTCAAGGGTAAATATTAGGGATGTGCAAAGCTTCGGTCGCTGATTCGATTCAGAGGAGATTCAGCCCAATTCGTCAGCCAAATCTCTGAATACAAATTGAATCAGGAAACCCATTAATCTCTCCGAATTGAATTGGAAGGCTCCAAATCAATTTGGAGAGATTCAACTATTTGGCTAAAGACACAGCTTTATATGTTTTTTCCTATGTACCCCAAGGTACGGGCGCGGCTCGTGAACGCAGAGATGGTGGGGTGGATGGAGCGTCCTGCGGGAGCACAGCGGGGGATCCCCTGTGCGCTTGGCGGCAGACCCGGAAGTGGACCAGAAGTACTTCCAGTCCACTTCTGGGTCCTCAGCGGAGCGCACAGGGGAGTTCCACCCCCTAGCTCAGTGACTGGTGCCTCCTGGGCCTGGGGGAGCACCCAGGGCCCCCCCCATGGCCGATCGCCAATTTTGCTACTTTGATTTTACTACTTTTGTCCAAATGATCATTCTAACATCAAATGGAAGTGTGATGCTCCAGGTTTAGCATAATGTAGGCACAAGCATTATTTTGTATACCTGAATAAAAATTGTATTTAAGATGGATTCAATGCAGACTATGAACTTTTTCTTTTAATTGCCTATGCCATGTTGCTGTTGTTGAAAGAGAAAAAAAAAGCAGCCATCAAAGGCAGTATTTTTGCCAGGTTTGGAACATCACAGACAAATTGACAGATGAGTATATCCAGAGGGGATTCAGTAGCATGGTTGCACTCCCCTTTAGCTGTGCCGCATGTAAAGTGAGCTCTCAGAGCTCACTGGCATGTCAGCAGAGCTCCTGCTGGGGCTTCACATGTTCTGAGTTCTGTTGGTTCATGGGCAGTTGGCACAATATCTGTCTCAAGTGTCTGCTTTCAAGTACTGCTGCTCCTCATTCTTCTGCTCCTTCCACTCCTTCCCTCAATTCAGCAGCAGGGAGCGATGCTGAGCCCTTGTTTCCACATAGGTCCAGAGTCCAGGGGATGGCTGCATGCTGCTGCTCGCTGGGAGGAGAGAGAAAAGCAGGGAGCAGCAGTACTCCAGAACTCTCTGCACTGTGCATATGCCACACTGCTGAAGGGGTGCTGGCATGCCCCCGTCACTGCATAGGAGTTGGCCTGATAGTTCAAGAAGTGGTGAATTCCTGTGTTGATTCTAGGTTGTTAATTCATTACTTTTTTTCATAATCAGGAAAATCCTCACAAACTCTCAGACCAGCGACAAGCGGTTAATCAGGGTCAGAACCCCCTACCGGTCTACGTGGCCCTCAATGTCAAGGACAACTTTAGTACCCTAGATTTTAAAGGTAATAGTCCTTTTAGAGCCCTGTTGGAATTTATAAAACTAGAAGTATTCTCTTTAGGGATAGGTGGAAGCTGAAATAGATAGGAATTACTGAAAAGATTATGTCAGTTTTATTGGCTCTCTGTCTGCCTCTCTATACTTCGGATGTCTGGGTAGGATCAAAAATAAACATCAAAATACTATGAGCAAAGCACTTTTCATGGCATTGTCTGGCGTGACTGGAGGCATAAAGTACTGAGATGAACTTGTTCTCATATTTCCAGCTACAGTTTGCACACCCAAGATGTCCCAATAAGATTTGGCAAAGCATTCACACTTTTTGATTGATAATCCATAATTAATTTGGTATTTTTGAGTTCCATCCATCACAGATCTAATGCTTTTTTGTGACTATCCCAGATTAAATCTTGGGTTCCATTTCAATTGAAGAACTATGTACTCTCCTGGGTTTAGGCGAACATCAACTGTCGAAGACTTTAAGGCTTTTTTTTTTCTCCCAGTGATGGAAGAATCTTTGTCTCCATACTCCTCAGTCTCTCACACAATACACTGAAGGGAAGTGTGTCACTGCAAAATGTGGTAGTTTGTAATAAATAGATAATCACCAAGAAACTGATGTTAAAATCCTCATTCCATTTCTAACTCCAACATCTCTAAGTTATTCTTGTCATGTAGGCACATGTGAGTATGATAAGTCTTTTGTTTTGTGGTTCTGTTTGCAGAATGGGTGGAATTCACTCCCTATGAGGTGGGATTCCCAAAATATGGAGCCTTTATTCGTACAGAAGATTTTGGTAGCGAGTTCTTCATGGGTCATTTGATGAAGAAAATTCCAGAATCCCGGATCTGCTTTGTGGAAGGTGATTTATAATCCCAGAAAAATTTGAAGCTATTAAAGAGGCAGTTGACTGTAAAGAATGGAGATTGTTAACCATTGTCTGTGGCCACATCTACATGAGATGCTGACTGCAGTAGCTCGTTGCTACTCTGCAGGAGGGTCACATGGCAAGAAGTGTGATGTGATGCTACTGTGCAATAGTAACAAGCTACTGCACACGGTCAGTGTCACCTAAAAGCTGTTTGGTGAAGCTACTGTGCAGCAGGGGTGTGCGAAGTAGGCCCTATTTGATTCAGGTTCAGCCCGAATCAGGGACAGTGATTTGATTAGTTGATTCGGATCACTCTCCCTGATTTGATTCGGCCGAATCTGATGATTTGATGTGGATTTGGAGAATCAGTGATTTGGACATAGACATAGCTTTAAAAGTTTTTTCTACATACCTTGAGGTAGTGGGTGCGGCTTGTGAACACTGGGATGCTGAGGTGCATGGAGTGTCCCACTGGAGTGATGGGGAACCCTCCCATGTGCTTGACAGTGAACCCATAAGTGGACTGGAAGTATTTCCGGTCCACTTCTGGGTCTGCCGGGGAGTGTGCTGGGCCCCCCTCGCACCTCTCCGGCTCAGTGATTGGCTGTGGGGGGACCCCAGGTGCCCCCCCAGACCCAGGAGGCACCAGTCACTGAACTGGGGGGGACGGGGGAACAGAGCAGGGGGCAGCGTGTTCCCCAGTGGACCCGGAAGTGGACTGGAAGTGCTTCTGGTCCAGTTCTGGGTCTGCTGCTGAGCACGCTAGGTAGCCCCCTGCGCTCCTGTGGGCCACTCTTTTTCTGTGGGACACTCCATCTACCCCAGCATCACAGCATTCATGAGCCCCTTCTACCTAGAGGTATGTAGAAAAAAACATTTAAAGCTGTGTCTATGTCTGAATCTCTGAATCGTTCTGAATCTCTTCGAATCAATTCGGAGAGATTAAAGGGTCCTTTGATTCAGGTTGGATTCGGAGATTTGGTCACTGAATCAGGCCAAATCTCTGCTGAATTGAATCAGGGACTGAAGCTTCACGCAGCCCTACTGTGCAGTAGCTCCAGTTACTGCACAGGCATTTAGTACTTGTCTATACAAGTACACACAAGCATAGTAACAACTGCACAGTCAGCATCTCATGTAGATGCAGCCCGTGTGTCTTACAGTCCCAGTGCAGTCTTATCTGCCAGAAAATGTAAACAATGCCATGTCTGAATCAGTAGTGGGTGTCCTACTTCTTAATCTTTCTAATGGGTCTAAATAGACTGTTAACCATGGTAAATAAATATAGCTTTGAATGTAATCTCATAAACATCAGCAAAGCTAAATACTACAGCATTTGTTTTGAGGGAATACACTATATTGGGTTTTTTTTCCTAAAACAATAGGTCTCATTCTCTTCACATTTTATTTGGTTAAGCTTAATTACATTCAGTTGAATCATTCCTGATTCAGAAATGCGTATAACTTTATTTTCCTTAGTAATTAGCACCTTTTATATATGCAATATGATAAAACTCTCTGAGGAGTTAAATAATAGAATTAAATAATAATGAAGGGGAAATTAAGAAAGTCTTGGCAAAACAGCAACGGAAGAGTATTGTCAGTGAAGAAAGATGAGAATGAGAGTGGCAGTGTGGAGGGAGGACACTCTCACTGTGATAGACTGTTTGAATTACAATGAGTTTTCAAACTTCAAAAAGTACAACAGATCAACTAGCTCAATCTCACACTGAGAAAACTAGCTATGAGTGTTTGCAGCATTAGTTTCTTATTCTTGTGCTCTCATAGGAACCTTGTCTTCCTCACACTTGCTTCCCTGACAGTTCATTGTCATCTCTTGTGTCATCATGTTTGCATTAAACTGTAAGGGCCAGATTTTGAAGGTTCTTAAAGATGCAGATAGGTTCAATGGGATTTCCAAAAACATGCACATATTGCTTTCACTGAAATGAGATGTACTTTTGCAAATCTAGTCCCAGGATACTGTTGGCAGGAACGTACTTTATAAATGGTTATATAGTGTTAAGTATAGCCATGGTGCTGTAAAGACTTTGACTCCCTCCACCCCCTGCCAAATTTGGAAATTCTGGAATTAGATGAACCAAAAGTTAGACTGAAATTAAACAAGCTCAAAGTGAAGAATACGAGGTATGATGCTAATTTTTAAAGACATCACAGGAGACATCTGAATGAATTCCTGCGGTTGCATTTTAAAAATCTAAATACTATTTTCTGTCTAATTTCTATTTTCTAGGCATGTGGAGTAATATATTTTCACAGAGTGTTCTGGATGCCTTGTACTTCTCAGGTTGTTCAGAGGATTTCTGGCATCGGTGGACCCGAAACAAAATGCATGAAATTGGTAAGCTATTGTTTTGTTTTAGCTTTCCTTTTGGTTTCTTTACCAATTACCCCACAACCCATCTGACATGGGAAACCCCCCAGTTTTGGAGGATTTGGGTTTTATGCCCTTTCTATGGCTGGGGAATGCTCAGATTCTGGGCATGAGGGTTGCAGAAAAAACAGTATTGTGCATTGCTGTGTAGTCTCAGGAGGCAGTCTCCTGAGGATAGATACAGATATTACGCTTATTGAACTTTAAGCACTCAGAAAGTGCTTTACAACCATAACAAGACGCATGTTCATGGCACATAAAGCACTTCAGAAATGGCTGCTCATGCTCTAAATTAACCCTGGATGGACATGGTACCAGACTAAAGCATTTTAAGTTAAAGTGCTTTACTGAACATCTGTACCACATCCATTACAAGTTAAGGTAGGTTGCATTCCCTGGCATGCCAGGGTCCTTTGCTGGGCAGCCTGCTAGCCTTGGCCAGTGCTTGTCTGTCCCTGATGATGAGTACTGGCTCAGCCCCACCTTTGAGCTGTCACAGGGAGGAGACAAAAGGCTCTCTCCTCCCTGTGTGGCCAGGTATGAGGGGGGAATAGAGACCTTCCTGCCAGGACCTCCCCCCCAGCTTGCTGGGTGGGGTGTTCAGGGGTGGGGAGGAGGGGGGCTGGGTGTACATGGCAGGGGGGCTCCCTTCCCCTCTGCCCCAGCATCCTGACAACAGCAGCCAGCAGTTACAGCATGGGGCTATTTGGTCAGCTTTTTGCTCTGCTGGGAACTGTGGAGGGGGAGGGGGAAGGGAGGTACCCCCTGCCATGAGGAGCCTCCCAGTAGCTTCCTGGCTGGGGTCTGGGGAGGAGCCAGGCTAGGTCCACGCAGCAGGGAAGCTTTCTTCTCCTATCCTGGCCCAGTTCTCAGTGTACAAAAAAGCTAGCTGGGCAGGTCTGTGCTGCAGCTGTCAAGAGGCTTAGGGGAGGGGTGGAAGGAGCCCCCCTGCAGCATGAACCTGCCCCCCCACCCCTCTGAGACCCCAGTCAGAAAGATGTTTGTGGGCCTTAGGGCAGGGAGGGACAATGTTCTCCATCCCTTCTCCCACCCCAGCCATTGCTGATGCAGGCAGGCTCTGAGCTGAGCGCCCCTGCCCACACACACACCAAATAGTGAGCATCTGTTATGTTTGCTCCTGCTCCAACTTACAGCACTTTCAGTAAAGTGTGATAGAGCGCTTCTGCCAGGGCCTTCTTGAACGTCTGCACTTAGCATGAGATGTTCATGATGTGCTGTCACTGGGGATTCTCCTCAACTGAAAAAGAATTGCCAGGAGTCCTTTTGAGAGGAGACAAAGCTGCCTCTCTCAAGAGGCCATCCTCCATTATACATCTAATAATCTGTGATGTCCTTCTGAGTGAGGATTAAGAGTCTTTTGTTTTTCAGTTGAACTTTGGGTTGCTGGTGTCTCACTTTACTTACTGGCTATTGATACTGTATCTTCTTGCATGCAGCACATCCCCAAATAAAACATATACCTTGTTTTTGGAAGGCAGAATGTAGAAAAAGATTTTTTTTTCACAGTTGTGGCTGACTGACACAGAATAATTCCTCCTGGGAACATAGGGTGCCCAGGGAGTATGGCATTAGAAAGTTCCTGATGCCGTCTCTCACCTAGACTGTCTTCTGGGATGCCAAACTTCCTGGACACTCTGTTTGCAGACGGACAAGGGCAATAGCAAGACTGTTAGTTCTTTACTGCAAATAGTTCTTTATATGAGTTCCTGTAAATAAAGTGTTGTTTCCGTATCTAAGTCTCATCGAGATACTACCAGCAGCTCACTCGCTGCTTCAGGCAAAAGCTACAAGGTAAAGCCAATAGCTATGGCTGAGAGAGTCAACATAAGACTTTCTTGGCAGCTGTGTGCCATGCACAGTGCCTCCAGACTTACTTTTTCCCTAGAGAACAAAACAGCTCCTCAGCTTAAAATATGTACTCTGATTTTAGGGGGCTGATATTAGAGAAAGGGCACATGTTGTATGTGAGAAAATGTAATAATTTTGTAGGTGCCTTCCTTATGGGATTGATTGAAGTGGGTTGTTTTCACTAGTAAGCATTTATTTTAAAAATAATTTGCTAAGGTGCCCAAAACCTCTCTGAATATGAAAATGCACAAGGAGATGAACTTTTCACTGTTATTGGTACTGTGGACAAATATTTTCACAAATGAATTTAAACACACAGCCTTTATTTGTTTCTTCCTCAGAGGAGCGGCCTATTCTACCTACAAGACCAGGTGATAAAACTTGCCTATTCTTCCCCAGCAGCTGCCTTTCTGAGGCTCTTCAAGACATCATAACACACCGTCCAGTGATTTCACATTATCACAATTTCTTAAAGGGTTTGCAGATGCATGATAGATACTTGGAGAAAGACAGGTTTTGCATGTGGAAAGGTAATGGTACTCAATTCTGGTAGCATCTTTTGAGGTGGCTTGTGGTCTGGTATTTAGCAAGGAAAAATATTTGGGGATGAACAAATCAGTTTTATTATTTAAAAATAAATCATTTTCTCAGTTGAAGTTAATTTTGAACAAATTGTTTTAACCTAGAAGTTTCTTGTCTGAAAGTCATTAATGAAACCGGTTTGGTGCAATCTGCCACAACAGATTTAATGTAGCTCTATTTTTTCTGAATAAATGGGCAGACCAAAAGTATAGCCTGTTTCACTTCAGAGTAGGGCTGGCCTTGTAGATCAAGAGGATTTGCTTTTAATTAGCTTAATTCTTTGTTAACCAGGGGTGTCAAACATGTCTTGCGGGCTGGATCCAAGCCTTGGAGCAGGGTCAGTTCAGGTCATGGACTTTTCTTCTGGTTTTGGTTGCAGTGTTGGGGCTTTGTGTGGTGGCAGCCCACATCCTTGCCAGAGCCAGGATTTAGGCAGCCCTCAAAACATCAGAATTGGAAGCCCTGCTGTCATGGCCCATGCCAGGGATCTTCCTGTGGTGGTATAAGCCTTCTGCCTAGGGTGCTGCTGGGGCGGCCTGGGTGAGAGTCAGGGTGAGGCTCAGGGGCATCTGACAGCAGGGGACACAGCCTTCCCACCAATTTGAGTTTGACACACCTGATTTAAAATAATTGAAGTAGGCCTAGTTTAAATCAAAATAAGTGCATCTACACAGCTCTGCGCACCAGCTGAATAAAAATGGTTTAAAATGAAACTTTTCATCTATTTCTGTATGTAGCCCCAAGGCTTCTATTTCAGCGAAGGTTTTTCCCTGAAGCCAGGGCTGAACTCTAGTGGGTAGAATGATGTATCAAGGGCTGAACAAATAAGTAGAGGATTAATTATTTTTCTTTTCATTTTACTTTCCCTTGATAGCAATAGCTCCTACCATAATACAGTTATGGTGAAAACTGTGGGCAGAATCCTATTTCACTTTATGCCCCCAAGTGGCCGCTACTCAGCTGTGTAGCTGCTGTTTCTGGTACTAATGCAGTTTATGATCCTGTTGCATGTACAGTGTGGACATGACTGTGTTCATATGGTTACTGAGCATACACAGTAGGCTGTGCACTGGCAGATTTGTGGCTCCATACACATGTACTTGGGCAAGCACAAGTCCCAAAATTGTAGAGGGGGAAAAATTAATCCCTAATGGGTGTTAGATGCCAGAAGAGGAGGAGAAGGAGGAGGGGGCACTTCCTGGTTTTATCCTAGCAATTAAGGGTACTTTTGCATGTGCTCTGGGGGTGGAGGGAGCAGCTCTAATTTAAGGACCACAGCAACTTGTGTATCGGTGTCCCCGCATGTCAAAATGATGGCAGGGGTACTTGAACTAAAGCTCACACGACCAGCTTTAATTCAAGCACCCCTGCTGCTATTTAGAAGCATGGAGACACTGATACACAAGGCGCAGGAGGCTACTGGAGCCCAGTAATTACCATGTGTCAGAGGAGTGTGTTGGAGCAGGCACCCTAAGCTACTACTAGCAATCACAGGTTCCTGGACCCTTATTCTGGAGAGGGGCTTTGAATCTATATCTTTCCAACTTCCCAGCAGATGGCTCTAACCACCAGGCCACAGCTTAATCATTATCAAGTCTCTTCTCTAGACATCAAAAGATGTGAGGCCAGGAAGAAGAGAAGAGCATAAACTAGATGGTGGGTGGCTCAGTGAGATGGCTGTTGCTCTGGCAAGGAGAGAACTCTGGATTTTAGCTTGATCCCTTGCTCCCAGTGGGACAGAAAATCTCTGTCCATTTTATCCAATGGACACTAAGTGCAAGGTGTAGTTATGGCTTGGCTGGAGAGGGAGATAGATAATGCCTTACCTGTGGTCTGTTGATTAGACCACTGTGCTGGGAAAAATAAAAGTCTAGGTGAAGGGGATGGGGCTAGTAATGGCATCTCTCAATTCCTGGGTGAGGGCTTTATTTGTCTATTGGGCTAAAACTTGAGATGCCTTCCCACTTTTTTGCTGGTGTGCAATTTTGGAACTTGCACTCAGATGTGCACATATAAAGTCATGTAACTTCCTAGCCAGAACCCAGCCTGTTGAACATACTCAGTAGCTGTGTGGATGTCTGCAGGTCTGTACTGCAAGTGGAATAGGATCTCAAACTGTGCATAAATGCTAAAAAATGGCAGTTGTGCAGCTGGAAAGTACATTTGGATGTGTAAAGTGAAATAAGATTCTGCCTTATTTTTTTTCAGACACTGTGTTAGATTCTTCCCCGAATGAACTGAATGAAAGAGCAGACTACCTGGAGATGACAGACACTGCTTTCTTCATCAATACTAGCTGCCCACCACTTTTAAGGCCAGAGAGGACAGTGGATGTTATCCTTCACTTAAACTACAGTGGGGGACTGCAGACATTGGTGAGAGGATTTAAGATGTTCTTCTAAAGTAATGGCTGTTTATCTCTGAGTCTTACATTGAATGATTAGATATTCACTTTTAGACTTTAGAGGGGCAAAATATTTCCAGGAGCTGAAAAAAGATCAACTCTTTTGAACTTCCAGTATAGAAATGGGCATGAAATCTGGTTTCAGAAGCTTAATCCTACGCTTAATTAAATTAAGTACCATGCCAGTGATGATGTGTCATCTTAAGAGGAAGTCTGCATTTGCAGTAGAAATCTAATCACTTTCTGAAAAAAATGTAAGTTGATGGGGCATGCTTTCAGAATGGGGCATCCAGGAGCAGGAGGAAGGGAATGTAGACAAGTCCTAAAACATCTCGACTAATCTGGATTGCTTATCTCAGTGTCTGACACCTCACAAAACTGTAATAGGTTTCCTTGAAATGAAGGCAGATGCTTCATTTGACTGTACAAATGTTTCATTTGACATTTAAGTGTACCTATTTAGAGTGCTTGATGAACACTTGAAGGGGGGGGTAGGTTTAATTTCATTCAGTTCAGTGTTTGCTCAGAAAAACCCAAGATGCCCTATCACACAGATTAAAAAAAAGTATGTTTTCATATATTCATAGCTTAATAATGGATAATAGCAATCAATTTATTGATTTCCACTGTAACACAGGCTATAATTAACTCCTATTTGACCTAGAACATGTATTTAAAAATATCTTATCCTCTTCATACATCCAAGGATCACATTAGGTCTTTTGGCTGCAGAGTTGTTCTGAGAACACATGTTCAGCTCACTATAATCCCCATGTTCTATTCTAGGCCACTGCATCCCAAGGTGTCCCATTTTTTAACAACAGTCTAGAGTCTTTGGGCATGTCTACATGTTGCCCTATGTCACCATAGCAATGTCCTACATCACTGTACAATGCAGTACGGCGACGTAGCAATCACATGAGTCTACATGTGACTGGCAGCTACTTCACTGTAGTGGTGTGCTCCCCCATTTTAGCACACTGCTATGGTGAAGTAGTGGCAACAACTAACCGTACACCATGTGCATGGCACAGTATGGGCGGTTATTGTGCCATGCTTTAGTACTTCCAACAGGAGGTACTAAAGCACAACTAGTAATAAGGTTGCCCTAAGGCAGCATGTAGCTGTGCCCTTTGTTTCTGTATATATGACTTTACATTTGGCAATATCAAACTGCTACCTGAAAGCAGTTTACCAAATGATCTTATGAACTTTCCTCTCCAATACGTATCACTCCCCTAACTATTATCATTTGCAGACTTTATTGATATTAATTGTACGGTTCCTATTAGATTATAGGTAAAAATGTTGTATAGTATAGGGCCAAGAACCAGTCACTATTGAGGCCTAGCTAGTCTCACCCACCTAATAATAATCCTCTGTTTCTAACTATGCTTTGAGGTCCATCAGGTAGTAATCATTTTATCCATTTAATATGTACCATACTGATTTTTTATATTATTTTTTGGTTTCTTAATATATTGGGCGTTTCAAGTAAAACTGCTTACAAAGTCTATTATATTAACTCTATTAACTTTAAAAACTTTATCATTTTATAAAAATCAAATTGATGTCCAGAAACTTATTTTTGTAAACTCATGTTGAATGGCACTAATTATATTATGATTCTTTTATTTTTTATTGAGTGCCATGCCAGATATTCTATTGTTTTGCTAATGACTAATGGCAGGCTGATATGCTTAAATGATCTGATTCATTCTGTTAATCTTTTAAAATTTTGGTACAATGCCAATTTTCTTCCAGTTCTCTGGAGCTTCCACTGTGTTTAAAAGTTACTGAAAATCAACTTAAATGTCCAGAGAGCCATCTCTCAGCCATCTCTCTTAATATCAAATTATCCTAACTACTGATTTTAAGATGTCTTAAGTTTGTAGTTACTGTTTAAAATGCTTCTGAACTATTATAGGAATGGAATGTGTTTCTCATCATAATATTTTATTAATATTACATTCTACCTTCCACAAATACAAGGGCGAGATGTATTGATTTATTAAGTACTTCAATCTTTCTCTGTAGAATTATTGACAATTCCAATTTGTGAAAGGAACACTAAACCAGATTCTCTTCTTTGTTTTGCCCCCTTTATACCAGACTAGTGGCACCAACAGGCCAGAAACTCAACTTTTTAAAAATAATCTCTTTTTAAAGATTATTTTGCTCATCTTGAATTAATATAATTTCTGTTTTAAAACATGATTTTATCTTGATGGTTCATGATTGTCTTGATAGTTCATGCCACTGTGTGACACAAGATACTGAGCAAGATGGACCTATGGTCTGATGAAGTGGCCATGGCACATGGCCAGAACAGATGTTCATGGCACATAAAGTGCTTTAGAAATGGCTGCTCATGATCTAAATTAACCCTGGATGCATGTGGTATCAAACTAAAGCACTTTAACTTAAATTGCTTTACCGAACATCTGTACCACATCCATTACAAGTTAAGGAGCTATGGTATGAACATCTGTTTTGGCCATGTGCCATGGCCGCTTTATGTGCCATGAACTCCAGTAAATGGAGTTATTATGGAGCATTTGATACTTTTTCTGGATTGCTCCCTTTCTGTCACCTTTTTTAGGAACTCCTTAACTCTCTAGAATTTGTAATTTTTAAAAGTATGTATTAAGGTGTTCTTCCCCCTCCTCCCCCCCCCCCCCACACACAAATAATAATCAAGGACTAGAGACACAAGATCTTTACTTTTTACAAAATACATGCATTAGCATATTATGGAGTTTTAAAAGAAATATACCATTTAAAAATCTAAAGTAATTCTTTCTTTCAATTTTTGCAGTTACATCACTGTTTGTACAGTTCTCCAAAGAATAAATCAACAGTTACTATAATACCCTGTTAGATTTTTCTATTTTTAATCTATGCATCTTAAACTGTATTCCCACTTGAGCACTCTTATATAGTCAGATAAATATCCTGTACAATATAACATTAATTTCAGGTAACATTAGATCCCAATTTTAATGTCATCTTTGGTTCTAAATTTCTTCTGTGCTTTGATACAGCCTCTGGACCAGGCCGCAAAATACTATGCCGAGCAAGGAATTCCATTTCCCAGAACTGTGCTGAGCGAGGAAGATAGGAAACATCTAAAGGAGTGCTACCTCTTTGAAGATGCTGAGAGCTCACGGGCTCCTATATTGCTTTATTTCCCACTAGTGTGTGATACCTTCCAAAAATACAAGGCACCTGGTAAGTTAACATTAGTAGTAACACATTTACTGAAGAGAGCGTGGCCAGCTTACCTGCTGAATGCACTTCATATTCTTATTTGATTTATCTTTCTGCTCAGTTGGTCATTTTAATGTGGCAAACTGCTTCACTGGCTAAGTTACCACTTGTAAGTCAGTCCTGTTATGACAAATGCCTTCTGGTTAGCACACCAGGGGCTGAATTTGGGATCTCCAGAACTAGAAGCATGAGCCACTCTAGTTCCAGCTAAGCTCTCTATTTCATAATGGAATCCTGTCCCCTATTGACCAGGCACAAAAGGAACCTGAGCGACATTCACTTACGGCTCATACTACCACTGAGTAGTAGTCTCTCATTCTGAGGCATGGTTTCTATATTTGTTTTCTTCTTATGACAAAGCTGCTCTTGTGAGATTGTGTTACATCAAATTGAAAAATCTTAAAATGAAAGATTGGGGAATTTACAATTAAAGCAAGAGACCTACCATTATTCCAAGCTTCTTCATCCTTTAGCATCATTTTGTGTTGTTTTCATCATGCATATTAAAGTGCAACTTGTACATATTTGACACTGGAGAGTTTGTTTCAGTATGAATTCTTTCTCTATGGTTGGGCTGTCATTCTTTTCTTCATTAGAATCAGGCTTCCCACTGGATAGGCTGTTCTTTTCATTCAGTGTGGTAAAGACTGTGGTGACCTCTTTTCGGTGTTCCCTTATTTTCAAAACCTCTCTGTCTTTTTCTTTTGACTATGAAGGTATCTTTGTGAATGGGGATACCTTGGTTCAAATTCCTTGAATCAGCCAGAGGGTGGGTTTGAATTTGGTTTCTTCTGTTCCTCAGGGAAGTGACTTGACTACCAGAGTGTAAGCTATTCTGATGTGGAACTTCCTCAACCGGTCTTGTTAGGCGTGATTTATTGTGTATAAAAAATGTACATAGTTACTGAGCCAAGGAGTGGGGAAGTGAGAGAGACAGACAGACTTTGTAACCTGGTGATGCTCAGATGGGAGGATACCTGTGTTCAGATCTATATTCCAGTGAATGTTAAAGTATTTGTTTCAAATGGAAATAGAAAATGCTACAGCATCAATGTGATAGGACACTTTTCCTTGGGGCGTGGAAAATGTGGGTTCAACTCTTCTTAAGTAGAGAAGGGGATTTAAATGCAGGTCCTCCATTTCCTAGATGATTGCTCTAATCACTGGGGCATTGGATAAAAGGAGGGTCATCTCTTCCTGTTTCATTTTTGTGAAAATTTATTTCTTCCCTCTCCCTCTGAATTTTCCCAATTGAAACTACTCTGTGAACTCATGTTGAACTTGTGAATAGTTTCAGGATGAATTGAATGATGGTGAATTTATTGTGGCTAGGACTAGAGTGGACTTGCAGTGCTCTCTAAAAACTCTCAATGACACTCCACAGACTGGTCTGTTGGAATTGTCCATAGAGTCACCCTCTTCCCCTCTCCCATCATGCCCATTTAGAGATATATGATTAAATCTGCCTGGAAAATGGGAATACCAACTACCAGAGATTGTGGAGCTCAAGCTGAGGGGGAGAGGAGTGATGGTGTGGGGTGGGATGGGAGACAGAGTATCTCACTTCTTTGTTTTTCTCTTTGCTGCAGCTGGACAGGCATTGAATTGGGGTGCTTAGCCTCTGGCTGCATGCTCTTAATACTCTTGCCTATGTGAGTTTCTGCCTGAAGGCAGGAGGGGAGCTGCCATTCCAATTTTCCAATGAAAAAAGCCAAAACTATTTAACAGAATAGAAATATTGTCATGGATTTTGAAAAAAAAAAATGTCTTCCATTGGAAAATTATCCTGGCAAAAATTTCTTGACTAGCTCTAGCCATAACCCAATCAGCAGAGACACCAGTGAGACATTTTCTTCTTTTTGGGCTGCTGTTGTCTGTTTGACTGGATCAGAATAACTTTTCATTGGTGAACCTAACTGCATCTTTTTTTCTTCAGGTGTGGAACGCAGTCCTACAGAGATGAAACAAGGCCAACTTAATGTTTCTAGCACTGCGTTTACCCCATATGCTACTTGCATGCTCACATACACAGAGGAGAATTACAACAAGCTGCTGAATCTGACCAGCTATAACATCCTAAATAATAAACATTTGATTCTTCAGGCCTTGCGTACAGCAGTGGAACGCAGGAAAAACTTGAAAAAACATTCATCTTCCTAATTATCTTAATATCTTGAAGGAGATATGTATATATTTTCTTCCATAGGGAACAGTTAAAGTATTCTGAGGATTGGCCAGTATTACACACATGAAAAGCTGCTTAAGTAGGATACCTCTGTTAAGTCCATTCTAATCAAAGGATGCAAAAGAAAAATTAGGAATTAATTAAGGACTGTGTGAGGGAGCTCAAACTCCAATAGAATAAAACAAGAATTATGTGAGGGAAAACTCATTTTCAATTAATGAACTTTTTTGTTAAATGTTGCCCTTTTTATTATTTTTCTGGAATCATGTAGAGAAATTGTTATTTAAATGCTAAGCTTTCAGACATGTCAAAATATCTCAACGAAGCTCAGATGGCCCAGAGAGATCAAGATCATTGACTTGATAATGTCTGTTCAAAGACCTATGAAGTAGATTTTTCTGTTGCATACCATGATCCTCTTGTGGTATTGAGAAGTAAACTAGACATAAAGGACATTGGCCCTTGGAAAGGAAGGATGAATAACTGAAGGAAGGCACTATGGTTAGTTGTCTTTTGTGAAGTCAGTATTTCTTTTTTAAGTAATAATCTAATTTTCATCATGTTTCCCTGGTTCAGTGATCACTGCATTGGCATTTTTGGGGGATGGACCCTTCTTCTAGTATCTAATACATTTTGTTATGGATTACTATCCTGGGTGATTACTTGCCAAGCAGTTCAAGCAAACCATGGTGATAACTAGGATTTTCTATTGCATAACTAGTGGGATGGAGTGGGAACCACTGTAACAATTCTTCCTTATGCATGCAACACTTTTTTCTATTAATTATCCACTATTAGGTCACTGTCCTTCATGGCAATAAAATTTATGAGATCAACTTCATTCATAAGTGAGGTCGGCTCATGTGAAGATTGAAAGTTTACCTATTTCTGACATTTACATTACAAAAACATGTGTTTACAAGACTAATTTGTTTCTTCTGAATAACTGTTCATAGCCTTTTTTTAATGTCTCCAGGGAAATACTAATACAGCCAAAATACTAAAAATCTGGTCTTCTTATGGCTTTTATATATACATATATCTACTGTGCTATAGCTGAACTGCTAATACAGACACTGGATACTGTTGCATATTAAACATTCTAGCAATTTAAATGTAGTTGTTTAAAATGGTTCCTTTCACTGAATTCCATATACTCAGGTCATCTAATTGGATTCAGCAGTTGAGCATCAAAACTATGGAACATTTTCTGACTCTGTTGCTGGAAAAACCAGAGAGTAAAGAGTTGACTCCAACACTCCTGAAGATGTTTGGGGATAGGACTATGATAAACTTCCCAGCAGGCTTTTGAAGATCAAGGAAGGGGAAAATTTTGGATACATAGTATAGGCCACTGCACAATCTCTCCAATTATAAAGTAAGGTGGACAGAGGTCCTAGTTCCTGAGAAGGAGTTTCTGGAGTCCATGGGAAAGGCTTTATATCATAATATTTATATTTTGACATCTGATTATCACCAGAATAACAGGATCTCCAAATCTAAATATCACACTATTAACGATGATTGAAGCCACTTACTTGGCTATTTCACTGATCCTAGTGGAATGTCCTATATGTATATTTTTCTTGTTTTGCATGCAGCACTCTTTCTGCTCTTAACTGCAGGCTTATCATTTAGTTTAATCTAACTATCAGCTGACAGTGAGGAAAAATGAAGTGTATGCAGGGGCAGATCCAGTGGAGTGCAGTGGCAGACCCAGCCTTTGATCCCCAGTGCCTGGAACAGGGAGCAGAATTTCTATTTTGGCAACACTGAGAGAGTTAATTGACTTAATGGCTCATTATCACCTCCCTGATTTGTTAAAACCTCTTTTTCTTCATTGCCTCTAGTCTGTAAGATGCTATAATGTGCTGTGATGTTGAATGTCATGTACTGTAATGTTGTAATGTGAATGACAATGCCCAGAAGCCTCCAGAGGACTGGAGAAATGAACTGCATCATGTACTAGGACTCCCAGAAGGCAGCAGGAGGAAGTGGAAGGAGCAGCGTTGGAGTGTGGGTGGCTGCAGCAGTGAGGGAGATGCATGCCAGAGATTTGGGATGAGTGGTGAAGCTAGGTCTACAACCTGCAGCAGCAGGGCTCAGATGTGGAGCCTGGGCAGATGGCAATTAAGCATTTTATGAGACCAGAGACTGGTCTGGAGCCCTCTGGAATTGTGGGGGAGTTTAAGGTTCTCAAGTGTACAGATCATGGTTTAATATTTTCTACTGGTTATCTGTTCTTGGGTGATTTCAGCGCACTGTCACTGTTTACTTCCTGTTTTCCAGATCCTAAGTATATGTACCGTAATGTCAATGTTTATTTACCTGTGTCTGTCTCCCTCTCCTTAACCGATTGACTTGTGACCCTAATCCCCAGCAGCCCTTATATAAAACTGGGAACTTCTCTTGCTGGCTCCCTGTGCCAATTCCTGGGATTGTAGAGTTTGGTACACTGCATCTTATAGCAAAATACTTGTTAGTTCTTAACTGAATGACTTCACACCCCATACTAGTAAACTTCATGTCAATTCTCTTGCTTCATGGAATGGTTCTTCCTCTGTAATAATCAAATCCTCCTCTGGATTGCCAGTCACCCTCACTTTGAGTGACATCCACAAATTTAATAAAATCACATCTAGTTCCTGTACCAAGGTCACTAATGAAAATATCATACAAGATAGGCCCAACACCAGTTTTGAGGAACACCCCTACTAAATGCTCTTGAACCTGATAACTCATTTTTCAGTATGATTTACTGTAATTTTCTTTTTAACCAATTTATCCAGTTCAGCATTACTCAACAGCCTCTCCAGTTTGGCTAATAGTTTTGCATGAGGACATGGTGCCAGATCTTTGCTTAAAATCTAAATAAATGTAGTCTGTTGCCTTGACACTGTCTAAGAAGTTATCCTTCCATAGAAGGAAATTAGACTGGTATGACACAATTTTCCTTGGATAAAGTCATGTTGCATTTCTGTGCCATTTTCTGTTTACCTCTATATCCTCGGTTTTAGTTAGATATCTGTTTTAAGACCTGGCATAATATTGAAATCAAGCTAGAGGACCACTGCATTTGCTAATTCCCAGTTACTGGGTGCATCAACATGAGACACTATGGTGCAGTAGCAATGGGCTATGGCACAGTAGCTTGTTGCAACTGTGCAGTAGCTTCTAAAAATAACTGTGCGGGAATGGGACTGCACAGTAACACCGGTCACTGTACAGTCATTTAGTACTTGGTTAAGCAAGTACTAAATGACTGCACAGTGACAACTATGCAGTCAGCTGCTCATGTAGACTCAGCCACAGGGTACTATCCCCCAGTGGCAGATTCATTGGCAATCCATGCCACAGGAGTCTCTATTTCATGTGCCAGTTCCTTTATTATTCTTGGGTGGGGATTATTCATGCCCCTACCCCTCAATCTGTCACAATAAGCAACCTAAATTTTACCTCTACTTCAGATGGGGTAATTTCCATAACTATCACTTCCATTTGGTGCCCTTCCATTACTCCCTTCTTATATTTTAATCTTTACTTGAAGACTAATGGTGACAAAGTATTTGTTTGGTACTTGGGCTTTACCAAGATTACCTTTCCTGCCCCCCATCTTCAGCATATTATGGCTTCCTACTTCTCTTTTTGTGTGACTGAAGAAGCTCTTGCTACTTATTTTCTAATTGAGCTGCACCTTTGGCTATTTTCACTTTATTTGTGAGACCATTGACAGATCTCTGTCTCTACTGATCAATTTCTTTTTCAGTTCCTTGTAGATTTTCTGCTTATACTTAATCAGAGGCAGAATATGACACCTGAGTGAGTGCCCTGAGAGGCAGCAATGCACAGGACAGCACTTTTACTGGTATGGCAGTGGCTGGTCCATCAGCACAGCCACTTCTATTCTTTTTGCTTGCCTCTCTCATCTGGGTCAGGACTTGGGGCTGGTGCCCTGGTCATCTCTCCTTTGTTACACTATTGCTCTTAATGTGCTGTTTAATGCACTTGTTTATCCAAGTAGATCTCTCTACCTTCCCCACTCTTTTCTAGATAACAAAACCTGTAATAACCAATCGTTTTTGTAAAAAAATAAAAATATAAACGAATCTTTAATTAGAAATGTCACCAGTACATAGGAAGACCTCATAGCACAAAGGCAAATGTGTACACATGGGGAACAGAGGAAATATGCTAATGGAGAGAGCCTTAACTATCACATAGGGAAATAGTTGTTCTATGCATACCGTATGTACTTGTCAATTGTCCAGTTACTTTGTGTGTATTGAGTGATGTTTTATCTGAAAAAATATTTGTATTTAAAAAAGAAATTGCTGCCAACAGAGAGTACAACGCTGAGCAGTTCAATGGGTAGCCTGTGGTTAAGCAATCAAGAAAATGTTAAAATGAAGACTTTTACGTAGTACAGTATGGATATAAGACAAACAGGATCCATGCATGGTAGCTATATAAGTACAGAGTTGTGGGATGTTAATGCAATCTTAATCATATAGTTAATCATGCAGACAAGTTTGCCTGGAATAGAGTAACTAATACATTTTCATGTGATGCTAAGGTTGTGAAAGAGT